GCATAAACTTATGCTTAAATAATCACCATTAATTAGACTACACAATGAAAAGGATTGACAGGATAACTATTAAGTGTTGTGCAGTTTTTTGATGTTTCACGAGTGCTAACTTGTTTTAAGAGAGATTTTCTACAGGGAAAAAGAAAACGAGAAATCAACTAAGTGACATCACCGTCATCATCATAACCATCTCATGGATGCATATTTTCATTAATATCGAAAAATATAAATAAATATGAAAAGGAATAATAATATGTAATCAGTGTAAATTATAAATGATGAAAGCATGAACTTGTGAGTTAAACAACAAAGGAGAAAAGTATTTTAAATTCCCAGCATTTTAAAGCCTTGAAAGAGCTACGTGACAATTCTAATATAATTATTACGAAACCTGATAAAGGTTCTGGAATCGTCATTATGAATAAAAGTGACTACAAATCGAAAATAATATCTAATCTTGATGATAAAAGCAAATTTAGCCGTGATCCCTCCTCAGAAGATATTCAGTTGTTCCAGGGCACAGTGACAGCTAATCTAGTGAAGCTTCATGGCCTAGATGCTATAAGTAAAGATAAATTTGACTCTTTAAAACCATCAGAATGTAAATTTCCGCATATGTATGGTTTGCCAAAAATATATAAACCCAATAATCCTCCACGTCCTATATTGTCAATGTGCAAATCACCGATGCATAAGCTTGCTAAATGGTTAGTAGAATAATTGCATCCAGTCAAAACACAATTATGTAAGTATGTGTTAAAAGATACATTTGAATTGGTTGGTTTTCTTGACGATAGTAATATTAATATTATGAATAAGAATAAGTACTCTTTTGATATAAACTCGTTCTGTCTGTCTGTCTGGATTCAACATAGAATTTGGCACCGAAGTGCAGCAGTTCGAGTTGCCACCTTCCAAATAGCACACAAAGGTAGACAAGAAAATGAGTGAAGAGAATCAACAGAGTTTTGACAAGTATAAGAGTGAAACAGAATGAGTAATGGTAGAAAGGAATATCAAAGATTACAGAGACTGAATACATCTGCGCTAGCCATTGACAACGATTTTGAGCCATGTCACCTATTGTCTCCAGCCATTGATTCTTAGAGTCCCGAGGGCCCCAACCCGGGAGTCTGCATCTCCCTACCTGACTCAGTTTAACTGTCAAGGATTTCATGGATTGATGCCATGTTTTTGTTTGGCCACCACTCGACACATAACAAACAGAATTGTGAGAGAGGGAAAAAGAATAGAGTTTTATTGGATATGATAAATCACAAAGAGTGAATGCATCTGCGCCAGCCATTGACAACGACTTTGAGCCATATCACCAATTGTCTCCAGCCTCCATTAGTTTTTACCATCCCAAGGACCCCAACCATCTAGTCACACAGTCTACACGTGACTGGCTGGTTCAAACTAGCTGTTGTAGATTTGACTGACTGATGAAGCCATGTTTCGATTATGGCTTGACCACCACTATCTCACTCTTTTCCAACCTGTTCCATCCTGTGTCAGTCAGCTAACATTGCCTGTCATCGAGAAAGGCGATTGATGGAATTACAAGGTGGTATGCGTAATCTATGTCCTAACCTTCTCTCAATCGATTTGATAACTTCACAACCACCTCGTCGATTGATTCCCTTCCCCTTACCTAGCACTCGACCACCGATACCTAACGTCAGTATTGCTCACTCTATTATACCACCACCTAACACACACGGGAGACAGAACGCAGACATATATGATAAAAGACAGCTAAGCAAGATTTTATGTTACACTCTAAATGGTTGTCTCACAGTCAGCCAGCCATAAAGGAGGACGGAGGGAACTGCTGAGTAGTACACACATCTTTTGGTCGACAGCCGAATATCACGACTACTAAACCAGAGATGGCGTATGCCAAACAAACCTTGTGTATCCATGCTGAGATTTCATCAGCAATCAACGCGTTGGGGCTGATACAACTCCGCAAATAAGTGAAGTGGTCAACACGCTCCATCAACCACTTCACTATCTCCCCCTATCTTCAAGTCCAGTCCTGTAGCAAGTATCATATTCCATTTGACAGCAGGAGGGAATCGCAAGCCGAAAATCCAAAGATTGCTCACTGCTTAAGGTGTTCACAAGACTCTGCTCTATTTTGTCAGTATCTTCACCCAAGAAGGAAGACTATATAATCTGCATATTCTGAGTCAACAAGATTATTCCCTGGTAACAAATCAATCCGTGGGTCACTGAAGTGAGTTAAGGTCAAGTTCATTAGTATATATACGATGAAATTAATTATTATTAATGAATAATTATTATTTACAGCATGATCTGTGAACCTACATACGGTTGTTTAATTGCTTTTTTTACATAATCGAGAGATCTGTCTGCTTGAATACTGGTGAAAATGCGACAGATGAAGTTCTCAATCATTTACCAACAATCAAAAGTAAACGTCCGTAAGAATCAGTAACTCGATTCTGATTGCCACTGGCATTTTAGGACTGCTGAGACCCTCTAAGAATACTTCGTAAAATGTAATGTAACCATATATAGATAGATACAACTAGTAACGACTCATATTTTGTGAAGACCGACGAGTTTGTATACATAGATGGATGTTTGGCCACAGCGGATATAACTGTATAATACGTTAAGCTATCTCGTTACCTTGGCTTTCGTGATCCTGACGCTCATTACACATTTCGTCATAGTAACTTGTATGCTTGTTTCACCACCAGTTAAAAGCAAACAAGACAGTTATGCTGAGTAAGCAACTGCCAATTTGTCACAAGATCTTCAGTGGATTGGATGAATTATAAGCCATAGTGTGATGTTATTACATATCTGATTGTTACAGAAGTGGAGAAAATATATAACGCCAATTATGGAATCTGACTCGAAATCCCGTAGCCAAGTAAAAGCTAGTGGAAATCCACTATTTTCATGTAGTTTTAATGTAGATGTACTGGTTAAAAGTGACCCATTTTTATCACAAATTTTCATAAAATGACGTTTCATCAGGGAAAGCGCCAGGCGATTTATGGTCAGCAAGTTTTTTAATCAGAAATGTGTTTCCTAAACGCCCTGAGAAAATCTTAGTACTTTCGGCACTCACTTCTTGTCAGACGACAGAATGCTGTAGGACGTAAAAGTACTTCTATCCTAAATGTGTGGAGTGAAGTGATGAGATGCTTCTTCAAACCTGCATGCCAAATGTCGGCCAAGTAATCTCATAAACTTTTCCAGCTGCAATTCTAAGATGATCACATTAAGGTAATGTGTATAGGGACTTCGTATATCTCTAATTACTACTTATGGGTGTACAGTAACAGAATTTAAACATTAGCCAGTTCCTGTATGAAGTTAAGGCTGTACACACATTCACCTATATTCTATGTTAAAAAATATAGGAAACTTTTCACCAGAGATTAAAACCCTTGTCAGTTTTCTTGAATATTGATTAAACTCATATATCATGGCAAGAAAATGCTTAGCACAAGATATATTCTTACCTAGCTTGAAGGAGAGAAGGTAACCAGGAATGGCTGTAACATGTTTACCACAGTCCCTGCAGTGACTGAGCAAGATATTACCCGGTTTTAAATCTCTGTGCATGAAACCTTTCCTGTTCATAGCGTCCATGGCTGAACCAATTTGTATCAGAAAGTGACGGATTGTATCTTCCGGTAAGGTGCGTTTGGCTGGATATCAATTTAAATTTCTGAATAACTATCAATTACCTTGCAGATATTCAGAGAGATCACCACCATTACAATACTCCATCACTAAATATACTCCATTGCTAGATATCTGAGAAAGGAAATAGTTACCGAATGATGGAACATACGCTATGATCATAAAGTCGTACAATGTTTTCATGATTTAGGTCCTGAGATGGGATAAATGAAAAAAATGAAATAAACCGACCTTCAGAACACATATTTCCTTGCTAAGAAGCGTCTTTGATTTTAAGACATTCTGGTCTTTCAACATAATTTTTATTGCAACGAGTTCATCTGGATTCTTTGCAAAAAATTATAACGTTAGTGTTACATCTTACGTTTCTAACTCTTCCTTTATACACAATGGCGAATGCCCCATTACCCAGAACGTCTGCTGGATTATATTCGTAAGCTCCTAAGCTTATCATGGTTGGGACAAATGCAATACAGTTTTGTCACGAAGATTAAATATTTAACTGCACAGAATTTCAGGAAGTTGGGTGAACCCAATATTAGTATCAACTTTCATTAAACAGTTCGTCTTTCACAGTTATTATGCGGAAAGCAAAGTACTAAATACTACATGTTATCAGTTAACAGCGCAGGTCACCATCTTTACCGAAAGTCAGCTGATGAACAAAACTTCCAAAACGAGCGCTATTCGTCAATGTCCAACATTGTAGTGGTACATTGTTTCCAGTCTTCAGGCATTATGCATATTAATTGCCACAAAAACAGCACCAACGATGTTCAACTTATTCCCAAAGAAATTCTGAAGATAGATGAACCATAATGATTCTACCAAGTGAACTCGGACTTTCTCTGAATAATTCCAGGTTCAGATTCAGATAATAAGGATAGTAGGGTATTGTTGCTTGCGGAAGAGTCAAATGCTCGCATAACTATGAGATTAGTGGCTTTGTGAAATAAATGGTGCTAAAACAAAACATAAAGCCCTCACTCTTTACAAGCACCGGTGGTACCTGAAATATAAAGCACACACCAAAGACCACAGTTCTTACTTCTGGGGTTTGAAAATTTCAAGTACTTCTCAGCCACTTGTGATTAAAACACTATTAAGTAATTTTCGCAGCCACGTAGGATCATCTTTGACTTCATGAACGCATTTCGTGAGGGAGGTTGAAACAACTTCCATCACGAGTCAGTAACAACAGGCCCAGTACCCCTTACCCAGTACTAAGAGAAGGTAAACAACCACCCTCTTGAGAGTTGTGGGTTACTCATAGCACGCTTTCCCGGCTGTTCTACTGCTTAGGACAAAATAGGATGTATTGATGCTGTGATATCACGAGGTTGCTTTTCGATTAACATTACATTTACGTTACAAAGGTGTCACTATCTTATCACTCCGAACTTCGCATAATATAAGACGTTTCAAAATTTCACCTCACCTGTTCAGAGACACGGTTCCAAAGCTTTTTAACATGATGCTACCTAGAATTAGCCACTCAGAGTTTTAAAAGCTGCCGTTCACTACCCCAGATTACGAAGTTGGACCGAATGCTAACATCGGAAACTTTCAACTAGTCAGTTTCACCTCAGTGTTTTCCAGAATTCTGCCGAACCTCGTTGGCCAACGTGCTGCTGTGTACCCACACTACAGGGGCTGCTTATTCGTCTCCAGCCAAGCATTACCCCTTAAAAAGTTGGATTCTGCTCTAGCTCCTTGAGTGATTACTCTGACGACTTCACAGACAAGCACGGCCGCATCTTAATCTCCACAGAAGCCTCCCATAAAGTCCAATAGAGAAGACTGGTTTTTAAACCAAATTTCTAGTCCTTCCAAGCCCTGTTGTCCTAACTTTACTGTTTTTTGGGGCTGCTCCCATGTAGTTATATTCTCCAATGTCCAATCACTACCATGGGTTATAGAAAGTAAGGAAATTTAAGACAGTGTTCCAGGAGCATCACTTCAAATTTACATAAATTATATCCTCGGTATGAATCAGCACGGCTGCCATTAACGCTGTCATGAACTATTGCTGTTGGTGGTAGAAAACTATTCGGAACTCAGACTACTTTTTATCTGTTTATTAACCAACCCACTTTTAGCGCGAGTCGTAATACAAGACGAACGGGGATGTCTTTTGATCAACCAACAGCAAACCAATGTAGTGAGGTTAACTATGAAGCAGTTTTACCACCCAGTTCCAAGTGGGTTTCTACAAATACACTAAAAAGCCTACAAATGAACGCTAGTTAATTTTTACCAGCGCTTTTAATGGTACCACTACGGTATTCCTCCAAACAGTAAGTATTAAAGCCTTGACAGTGTATCAAAGCCTGAAAAGAAAATGAGGCTATTTCGAATAAACCAAACATCTTTTTAACACCCACTGGCTTGTGATGTTTTCAGTGCTCTCACTCGACCGTCGGAGAAGGAACAATGTGACCACAGCAGCATACAACGACCACCAATTAATGGTAAAAGCGGAATCCCATGCTTTGCTGGATTTCATCATAACTTCAGGGTGCATAAATGCGCCGCATAAATGGCCTACGATGTTACTCACAAAACTTGACATGCACAATGAACTGTTTCTAAGTTCAGGCTACTTACAGGCCTCTACACCAATAAATATAAACCACACAAGCTAAAGTTTTTTTCTACGGAGTTCTGATCCTTCCAGTGGTTAAGTATTGCATTATCATGCCAGGATTCCTTTAGATAACGTTCAGCGCAGTTTTACTCGGCCTATGAAGGCATTACATATGAGGACAGGTATGTTAAAGTACGAAACTGAGCCGTTTTGGATGGAGCGCCTACTTTAAACCTAAAATTTTTCTCTCGTCTTGTATAAGGAGATACTAGAAGCCATTATGCGATCGATTTTAAAAATGCAGTGACATACTTTGCGTAATCACTAAAACACTCTCTCTGTTAATAGATACCGAAATGGACTCTGTTCGAGGACTGTCATCATTCACTGTGACGCACTTGGTTGCAAGCTTTCACTTCCGGTGGGAACGTCCCGATATCCCTTTCCTTTCTAGTGCCTCCTAAATAAGTTTCGACCGTCTCAAAGTATCTGTCGGTTTCCCCACTAATACCACTCACAGGTTGAGAGTGAAGATTGCGACAGTTCTCTAGATCTGGCCACAACGCTAGATATACCGTAGGATAATCACGACTGATGACGGACATGATGAACCCTCGCGTTTAAGGAGAAAATGGTGAGTTAATGAGCTTTCATTGGACTTTATTGCGGGCTATTGTCTTCCACAGAGCTGCAATGCCTCAATCAATATTGGATCCGAAACTCTCACTCTGTTAGGTTCTACGTTATGGTTTGGTAACGCAACATATCTTCATTTGAGTGTGAATGCGACTGATACGATTTTGATGGAATTAATGTTAGCACAGGTCCCTGTGGAACACAAAGAGACTATAAGTCAACTTATGTAGGATTCTTTTAAGGTAGTCTAGTCGTCACCTAGTGACCTGGGAAGAACAACAGATATCAAGCATACTAACGACACTGGCAATTGTGCCCCAATAAGACAGGCACTTCTCCGAGTTTCACGTATGTTCCGCCCACAGCTTAAAGGAATGACTGAAGAACTTTTGCAGTAAAAGATAATTACACCACCAAATTCACCGTGGACTTCTCCTATAGCTCTAGTTAGAAACAAAAACGGACCCCTCCGCCTGTGTATTGAGCACAGGAAATTAAATTCAGTGAATTAGAAAGATGCTTGGCCTTGTCGCGAACAGAAGAAATGGCATAAGCATCATCAAGGGACGTCTGGTTTGCAGCCCTTAATTTGTTTTCGAAATGTCTGCAGGTCGAAGTGCACCGTCGTGACTGGCATAAAACTGCTTTTACTAAACCTACCAAGTTACTTGAATTCCAGACTATAACTTTCGGCTTATGTAGTGCAGAAGCAACGTTTCAAATGTTGGTGTATACGGTACCTGAAGGACTGGCTCCAAAAGTTTGCATGGTATGTTTAGAAGATATCAACGTGTTCATTCAACCTATCAATATCTTGAAAGACTGTGTATGACCTTGGAAGGGGAACTGAGGGTGTAACTCACTAAATTTCATCTATTCGGAGCGGAAGACACATTACCAGGGCGTGTGGTCGGCTTAAACGGAGTGCACAGCGACAGAGAAAACGTTACGGCCGTTGCAGAGTTGCTCGTACCAAAGTCTACAATAGATTACATGGTTTTTTGGAATTCGCTTCGTATTGTCCTCGTTTTGTGGTGAAACTACGTACACTTCAAAAGTGCTACATTACTAATAGGATGCATCTACAGAGCTCCTTTAGTGATCACGAGACCCAACTAACCAATGCACTGGAAAAAAGTATCCACTCGTCCATACGAGCATAAACTCATATGTGGGGACTTCAGTTTACCCAAAATCAACTGTGACTTATGAGCAGGCTTAGCTAAATATGACAAGCTCTTAGGTATACTGGACATTTTTGGCCGTAAACAAACTGTCACTATCCCTGCATGAGGTGACAACCTACTAGACTTGATATTCTGCCACAACATACGTCCCCTCTCAATCTTTGTGGGTACCATTTTTCAGCCAGTGACCACAAAAGTGTTGTGTGCCCTCCCGCTTCCAATGAGTGCAGTGCAGTTTATATCTCCACTTCACAACAAATAACGTATAGGAACTATAGTAAGACAGACTGGGATCTCGTAATATCAACGCTAAGATCCTCTGAATGGGGCGAATACTTCAATACTGATTACCTCTCGAGAGCTCTGAGCATCTTCTACCAGAACTCAAACACATGTTCAGACGTTGCCATTCCACTCCAAACACCAAAGGTCTCCCCACGTAGGAAGTCATTTATAAAACCAAAGGATCGTACGAAATTGAGGAAACTCTCGAAAAGTTACTTCAAACACCACGAAGTCGGCACACTAGGTTTGTTACTTAACGCCCTTAGCTCTATCTCACAAGCTCGAAATTTGCGTATGAGGAACGAATAAAGCGCCACACTAGTCAGCCCTACCAGGGAGCATTATATAATTCCCTTGAATTCCGAGTGCAGCATAGGGCTTCATCAACACATCCCCAATTTGTTCTGTTTTCTGCCGTCCTATTCAGCTGGCTAGCTTCACGATTGACGAAACTCTCTCATCTCTTCCCCACACGATCCCCCCATGTCGCACTCGCGCTGATGACCCACTCCCCGCTTCCTATTTGGATTCCACTCGAGCAATGGCCTAGCACACGATGTCATTCGGCGGCCTCCTCAATATATGCCCGGTCCACATACACTTTCTCCTAAATAGCTGTTGATGAATATCTGCAAACTGTTGGAGGTCGTTTTCATGACACGCCAAGTTTCTGACCCGTATAAAAGAACCGACTTCACATTGGTGTTGAAAATTCGAACCTTGCTCCTTATGCTGAGTGCGGAAGATTTCCAAACTGGTTTCAGGTTGATGAAGACATATCTTGCTTTGCCGATTCTGACTTCGACATCTTCGTTCATTCCGCCTGTAGTTAAAATGATGCGTCCCAGATAAGCGAAGAAAGTAACCTCTGTGCTGTTGGTTGGTAGCTTATCTCCATCACTTCTGTCTTCTCTGTGTTCATCTGAAGTCCTGTCTCCACTGCTTCAGCGCACACTCAATCGAATTAAAATTAACGCCTCAATCTGCTAACTA